ATCGGATCGATCGAAATGTATTGAACCAACATGAAACGTGCATGCGTACAATGAACACACGATGTGTAGGGTGCTATAGAAAGGGAAGGTACAGTGGAAGCCGTGCGGCCAATTTATCCACCAACATTTCCGACGTGCTACTAGCAATGCAAGCCTATACATATATAGCTTGCCCATCGATTCTTCGAGGCAATGAAGCAACGCATCGTCATTGTTTCGTGTTCGCAATGAAATATTTATAGAAAGCAATGTTCTAACGGTGCAGAATTTATACTTATCAATATTTTCTTAATAAATCATACGTTATTTAAATTTCACGAAACTAAAAAAAAACATAGCAATTAGCAGATACGTAAATACATTTATTGTTAGATAAAAGAAGGATCTCGGCAATTATTAAAATTATTTTAAATAATACAATCTAAACTAAGTAGATATATATTTGAGAAAGAATAGTCTTTAACAAGATAACCAATTCTATTTTGAAGGAAAAATTATCTTCTTTTATATTTAAATAACTTGGTTAACAGAGTAATGAATAACGAAAATAAAGGTGTTTTTATTTGTACTTTTATTCATGTAACAAAATTGATGATCGAGTCTGATGTACGCATACATATCTTCCGATTTAACTTCTTTATGTGTTTCTCTTTCAATCTTCAAAAGTCCAGCAACGTCGCTGCCTTAACTTTACGATACTTTGCCGCCATAAAGCTGGTTTACTGAAAATAACGACGAAGAATCTTGCAAGCACCAAGCTGTCTTAGGTTAGCCGCGGACTTTCTTTTACAGTAAATACCAACGGTAAATTGCAATGCAACGAGTTTGTTGAGTACGGTATTTGAATTTAAATTTAGTTTATGGTCTCGATGTACGAGATCGCCATTCCTTCCTTTACCTTCGCTACTGATTTTTGTACATCGTAAAAGAACTCATTCTTTTCTCTCTCTCTCTCTCTCTCTCTCTCTTTCTTTCTATTTTAAAGTAACATTTTAAATTTAAAAATTATAGACGTTTTTTCTTGGGATACCACATTTGTCAATTTATTTAATTATTTATAATTGCTTGGGACAGAGTAACAATAGACAATCAATATCATCGAATTGCCATTGGAATATTTTCCCTCTCGAAATTCTCTTTGATCTGTGTAATTACATACGTATATGTCTACAGAATATTCAATGGATTGCATATAATTATCCGCAAAATAAACTTTGTCCGTATGTTACGTCCAATTTCTATTTTTTGCAATAATGTTACATTTAAATGCAGATTTTGGTTTTCGCAATTTTTATCAGACGATATAATCAAACTTGAGGCTTATGTTAAATTTAAGATAAAATCATCAATTGGTAAATCCTATTTATCCTTATCTCCTCTCCGATCGTACAACGCTTCGATGCAGTAAATAAATCTTCGATATGCTAGATTTCCTAAATAGTATTAATAACGTTGGGGAGAGAGACACGATATGGTTTGTATAGTTGGCAATTTCAACTTCCGGGAAATGATATTGCATGGAAAGAGAATCGGCGAGGAAGGATCTATCCGGGGAGCATAGTCTACCATACTTTATCTCCTTCTTATAAATGAAACAGGTTATTTATTATCCAATAAAGAGACACTCCTGGCACGCGCGGCGCCCCACCAGGTACTTTACGGGGGTGGCAACCCTGACGTGTAAATATCGAGGTTTCTCTGCGTTCCTCTCCGAGACCACTGCGCGACGTTCCATCTTTTACACGAGTTTTCGACAGCACATATTCCGCGCGTCGCACGGGAGAATCTCGAGTTGTGGAGGAAGGAAAGAAACACAGCCAGTATTCAAAATACATGTATGATTAATTATTTCGACGCTTGCTAAGCATTCATATATATTATGCCAACAGTATGAACGCAATATTTAAATTTCATATATTTCATGTTACAAAATACAAGAACGTGTAAAAGGATCCTTGAACTAATATTCAGTTTCTTTAATATAAAATTTCAATCTAAAATAATTTATAATTTATTCTACAACGAGTAAAATTTTAATGTATTTACTTGATTTGTACTTTTAATCTTTGTTAGTAATTTATTTTATATTTTGCTGAATAGTTCGTATGAAATATGTACAGTGACATAATTTTCTATTAAATTGCTTAAATTGTCGTCCATCCTAGTTTACGGACGGATTTTACTTGCCAGGAACATGTGCTTTTGTGTGCGTCAGCACAAATAAAAAATTATTGCGAGAGGCTGGGCCATTCGACAAAGTAGCCTTCATTAAAACTTTGTACAGCTTTATGGAGGCGACTGGCGTCCGAGGCAGTTTTGTACGCGGTGGTGAACATGCTGCGATGAAGCAAGCCTATATAGCCTATGTAGATTGCGAGATATGAAAATCCAAGATTATCAAACGCTTTGCTTGCCGAGCATGAAAGACGCAACAATTTAATCACGTACACAACAACAAAAAGCAAAGTATCTTCTCTTCGATTTTCTTCGAGTGCTGTGATTTTCAAGACGCACTTCCGACAACGTACGCGCGCATTCACACACACATACACGCACGCGAAAACTTTTAACAAAGTTTACGAAACAGCTGATTGATTTTCTCTTAACTCGATCTCAAGTTAGCCTCGGAAACGTGCGACGCATCTCCAACATCGCTTCGGAGATTGATCGGAAAGAGTATATAATGGATTTTCATCCTCAAAGATAACTCTAGTAACAAAATTGAAAAATAATACAGTTGAGAAATATATAATGTATGCGATGTAAATTATAATGTTTTTTAAATGACTCATTGCAATAATCTTCTTATTATTACATGGTATCATTTTCGGAGATAAATATCTCGAGATTATATCTCAACTGGGATTAAAGAAGAAAAGTAATTAGAGAGTTCCGAAAAAAATCGAGGTGTTTTGACAAAAATTTGAAATTTAAAAGAGTCATCGAGCGTGAACAGTAACTACCCTTCAGGGTAGAATGATGACTGTTCCACAACCGATTAGGGACTTCTGTTTGAAGAACATGCAGATGATCTTTAAGCACCGTTTCCTCGTCACGGCTAATTCTTCCTCGGTTTTTAATTGAGCTTATTAAGCAGTCTCTCGCAAATATAAATCAGATTTCCCATACCGACACTCTCTTCTCCGCGGAATGTTTCGTATAAACGGCGACTTCCGTCAATTCCTTACAAGAAACTTCTCGTTACGTTCGACAGGACAATGCTCTTTCCGAGCTATGCCGAGCAACTTCTGAATCCGTTGCGATCCTCGACCGAATTTTCCTAAAGGAAAGCATGCGAGCTCGCTACTATTCGGATAGACTTCGCCATCCTTCACTGCCTTGTACTCTCAGCCCCACGCACACTCTTAGCACATTTTCACGGATTGTGACTTATCCTCGACGGAAGCAACGCATACCTTCCACGCAATCCTCTTTTCCGGAGGCAGGGAAGCCTAGGTATAAAGCATGTCTGCATTTTAAAACGGTGGAAGAAATTCCAAAGAATTTGATAACTATCCACAACCGAGACTGCGATGAGAAATTTTCGTTTTATCGCGATGGAGAATTTCATGAAGCGGCAAAGCGACTTCTTTTTTATGTAATCGTCTATAAACATTATTTATCTTTTATTATTCCCTGAAACTTGTACTTTATATTCTTTATATATTTTATGCCGTTATACTTTAATCCGTTGAAAACTATATCGCCGTCATATCCGGATGCATGCATGGAAGTAGGTACTCGCTTTTGCTAAAAAAAACATATACGTGTATATATAAACCTTAACCCCCTGCGGTCTTTTTTTTTTGTCATTTTGGATAGCTCACATTGGATTTCCTTTTGGACCTTTATCCGCTTTTCTCATTCCGCTGTGTAACTCTTACGCGAATTCCATCTCCGTATTTTTCTTCGCCCTTGACTGGTCCCTTACTGAGCTCTCGGAAGCAACCCCTGTCAGGCTCTTATAACGTTACAAAACAACCGAGCTTAGATGTGCTGGATATATTTCCGTTCTAATATTTTCCGTTATAGTCACACATGTGTTGACATTGAGCCAAGATTGCAGGCAATACATAACAGTTTATGCAGTAACCCAATTTTTCGTTTTATTGATCTGTTTTGGCAAGTTTTTATTTAATATCTGTTTCAATGTTGGAATATCTTACCTAAGTATTTATTTGTAGCTTATCCATATAAGATATTTCAGAACCGGGGTTATGCATTTTAACGACAGATATTGGAAATCAATCTGAGAGCATGGAATGTATTTAAAATATTCATGCTTTTCTAAAGTAATGCTTTATTTTTTTTCAATTTCAAATGAGAATAAAAGTTGATTTTGATACGCAAATTGCGTTATGGTGCACATTATAATTGAAGAAAATATCTACTAAATAAAAGTGTTTGCGTCTGCATTAAACACAAATGTCGACTGGTTTTCTATCGGTATTCCTAAGCGTTTTAAAAATGCGTTTGGTCGTGATTCGTAGGAAATGCTATTCTCGAGAATAGTCTATCTAGAATGACGAAAGCCATCAAAGGCTAATGGATTCGGCCCGGGGTAATTCTGATCCATTATCTCGCTTGTAGAGCCTCCGTTGGCGCGGTTCAATCCATCCTTTTGTTTCTTTTCGCGTCCTGTTGAACCGAACTCACTCTTCGCTTTTCCCATTCTTTTCCTTTATCCAATTGTCCGCGATCTTTGATTCATTTAAGTAATTTCACATCATTCTGTACGGTTACGGCGTGCGAAATTTTTAATAATTATTGGAAACACGCGGATTAGTATAATTATTTATCGTTATATGACATAATAAAAGATTGAAACATACAGTCGGATTTTAATGAAAAGAAAATTGATATTAAAAATATCAATAATTTTTATCTCTTCGTGACACACAGAATTTTATGCAACTTACTTATAGCCATAATGCGAAAGTACATAATCGACAAGAGATTAAATGTATTAAAGAGATTAAAGGATAATTTATCTGTTCCAGGCTTTGGCCAGGTTACGCCAGTGCGCATAATAATCTCGGAACTCTTACGATAGATGATCAAGCGGAATATCATTTTCTAGCAGCTATTAATGCTCAACCTGGTCATGTAAATGCACATTATAATCTTGGACGATTGTACAGGTCAGTGAAGAAATATCTTCTTTCAGAGAATAAGTAGCTACAATTATAGCGCTGCACAAAGATTATTTATCAATTATTAATACAGTTCTCATATTTGTTCCTCAATTATTTCATCGGCGTGACGCGTTCAGTGATCGCATATCACTTACATATTTAACATTTAGTAATTTGTCGTAGTAGAGTTGATTGTTTCCACGTAATAAAAATATCTCATTTCCTAGTTCACCATTTTATCAACGGGTCATTGACCTAGAACGAATAGCGTTTCCGCCGGTAAATTTAGCTTGAGCTGTAATTCTGGTGGCATGGTTAAAATTAAAGTTTAATTAACGCCTTCCTACTTGATAAATTAAAGTTTAATTAAGGGTAGAAGTGGGACACACGCGGTCGACCGTTGCGTAAATGTAACAATTTTCCGCTCATCGTGCGTAAATCGCGAAAAATATATCTCATTTAATTCTCTTTTTCCGAAGATTTTTATTTTAAACTTATACATATATTTTATGGCACATTTGCGCGGTAACTAAATTATATGCTTTTGATTCTTCCGCTATTGTTCATATGCATTCAGTAATTGTACAAGTAATAAAAGCACAATCGTACAAGCTACTTTTATTTTTTTATTAAAAATCTGTAAATTTGCCTTTTTCTATATAAAACCCAATTCAATAATAAATAGAAGATAACTTTAAAATATTTAACGCAATAGCTCTTTTCCACCAATTTATATAATAATAATAATAATAATGGCATAGTATCGATATGACATTTGCATAATATTATCATTATCATTATATTTGACACAACGACAGATTTTAGCTCAATCTATTTTTAATATAATTTAATGTATAATATAACGCATAGCATATTTACTATATAATTGATTTTACGCAATATACATTAGCGCTTGCGCATTGAATAAATTACACAATGGTTCAAATACGTGACAGAAAGTGATGTTAACGTATATTGCGTGTTACGCATGAAAATATGCCGTGCTTATATGTCATGCACTATAATAAGGTGACTCTCTCTCTCTCTCTCTCTCTCTCTCTCTCTCTCTCTCTCTCTCTCTCTCTCTCTCTCTCTCTCTCTCTCTCTCTCTCTCTCTCTCTTTCTGTCTCTCTTTGAAATAGAGTGACTGCATTTATGAGTAGGTTGTGTGATGCATATCTTTGTTTCTGTTTTCATTTTAATTACAGAATTACACAATGCGGTATTACTATGAATGCTTTCGTTATAAGAAAATGCTGTAAAAATTATTTACTGTGTTGTAAAATATGTGGAGTTTATTAATATTTATTGAGTCTACTTTTCAAATATCATTAATATAATGCCACATAACATGTTATAATTTATGTAGAACAACCACTTTTACTCGCAATTTAACGCATGTCAGTTAAAAGGAAATGAAAAATAAAGATTAAAAGTTTAACTTTTTGTTAAGAAAATATATATGCGCATTATATATCTCAAAAATGTTTCTCTCTCTTCCGGAATTCAAAGTTGAATAAAGATGCAGAAATTAGGAATAAATAATACATAAGATATAATAATATATATAGAAGTTAAATTTCTAAAAGAGAAGTCCTTCCTAAAAAAATATTTGCAGTTAGATTTAGAATATATCCTAGAAGTATGCGTAGATGCGTATCTGTATAAATTCTCTTTCATCTGTTAGTATTTCCCCTTTCGATCACACGAAAATGTCGATAGAGTGATATTGGTAAAAAGCAGCGCTCCAGCTGCAGGCGTAAACAGTAAAAACGGCATTGTCGATCGGCATTATTGGCGTCGCTATTCTCTGACAATTACCGGGTCTTTTGTCGGGCGCAAAGTCGATTACATGAAAGCGCACGACTATAATTCAGCCGGACGCGTTCGCGAAATTGCCGTTCAATTTGTACGGGAATGCCGAATTTACCACGATAACTTGTCCGTCGCTCTTTTTAACAATCGAGCCTTTTTAGCAGGCCTATCAATCTGCATCGTAATATCTAGCATTTTCGTCACATTTGTTCGCGCAGTGGTGTATGGTAAGCCAAGCAAGAAATATATACTGCCGCGATATTATTTCAGCGAGGCGCATAAGCAATGAGATGCGCGCGTGGTCCGATATTGTATGATTTAATAATATTGTTTGAATGCGGTATGCATTAAATTTATAATTGACGCTAATTAGAATCGAATTGCGCGTTACTGATTAAGAATAATAAATTATACGTTACTTTGCCCGTTGATTACATTCCATTGAACTTTTTTTTCTCTCTCTCTCTCTCTCTCTTTCTATACATTATAAATACAATTCCAATATATATTTTATATATATATTTATATATAAAATATATCAAATTTAGATCTTACATTATTTCTTTTTAATTTGTGCATGTGAAAGAGTCGCAGCTTTTGTAAACGACAATTATACATTTTTCTAAATTATTGAATAAAATGCTAAATGAATATGTAGCAAGATATCGAAGTGGTTGGAATGATAAATTGTTGGTTTCAGAAGAACAAATCGGACCGAACAGTGCATCGAGATGCTGAGGCGATGCGTGTCGCTGGATCCCGCGTATGCACCGGCATACAGGGTCCTGGCGAGGATCGCCACCGGTTCTGCAACCGGCGAACTCTTGAGACACGTAATTCATCTTCAGCCGCGAAACCCGGACGCTCTCACTGAGTATGCTTACTGGTTGTACAAGAACGGTGAGTTATTAAACGAAGTAAGTTTAAAAAGTAGCAGGTGGAAGGACTTTGAAATCCCCCTCCCCGATAGAGGAGAAGCGAGATGCTTGTCGCCGAAGATACAGAACATGATCTTGAAGTCTCTTATCCGTTAGGACGAGAGAGCGGCTCGCACATGTGTCGCAAAAATCCTTATATTTACACCCGCGGCAAAACTTGCTTCGTCTCTTTCAGGTAAATGGCTGCCCTCGCTCCGGTACTATTTCAAAGCCATGGAGATTTTCCCGTCGCATAAACCGTCGCTTATCGGTACACTCAGGATTCTGAGGTCGCGCGGTCAGTGGTCCAGGGTACACCAGCTCATCATCAGGTGAGCATTTGCGAGCTTTGTGCGTGAATGCACATTTCCGGACGTATCTCTATAGTCTCGTATACGAAACGGGCGGCAATAGCAGCTTCCAAAAGGGACCAAAAAGGAAGTACGTATTTCATAAAGTTACCGTGAGAATAGCATCATGTGTTTCGACTATCCCGCGCATTTAATCCCTCTAACGCTTTCGCGTTAGAATAAGCGTAAGCATTACATACATATATATCTCTCGAGCGTGTTTCATAGAATTATATATATTTAAGATAGTATCAAATTTACATTCTCTCTCCCGGAGAGACACACAGTCGCTCGAGCGCGCGTGCAACGTAATGTCCAAATTCGTAATTTCCCGGTATCAGCGCGATATATTATACGTGTCTGTGTGTACAAACAAGCGCGCGCGCGCGCGTTGCAAATTCCGTGCATGCGGTGAAGCGTGCTACCGTCGCGCGCGCGGAAATCCTTTCAATTTCAGATGGGCTTTGCAGCGTTGCGTGGATCGTTCGCGCGGCAAGTGCTCCGGTATACGTTAGCGCACACGTCGATTCGCAATCAGCGGGCGAATTCAATTTTTTTTCCCGGCGAGCGCGCCCCGATCTTTCGTTCCGCGCGAGTTGATTAAAAATTCCGCGCAATTTTCGTATCTAATGCGAAATATATATATATATATATATATATCGAAGAATAAAATGGAAAAAAAAATGTATGTAAAAAAGAGACAAACAGATTCCGCACTTCCTATCGACGCGATCGCTCTGTCTCAGTCAGTCATCCGGTCATTTATGGACGCACCGCGTCTACGTACACATGTAGATTATACGATAACGGGCGCGCGCGCAAGTAGTGCATCCTCGTGTTTTCACTGCAACCGCCACCACCGTCCCTCTATCGCCTATTTTTCCACCCTCGCGCTGTAATCCTCCTACGCCCCGTTTGTGCGCGCGAGAGAGTGTATAAGTGTGTTTGTGTGTATGTGTGCAAATAGCGCCTATAAAACACGCGCAGTAAATTTGCCTGCGACGATTCGCGCTGTTTTTGTAGCCGACTCTTTCTCTCTCTCTCTCTTTCAACCGGTTGCTAGCAACGAAGAGCCGCATACCAACAGCGTACTGGCGTCGTCCGAGCATATACGAGTTTGCAGGGTCAGGGAGGCGTGGCTCAGGGGATGTAGGAGCAACGGGGTGAAAGAGGGGTGAAATTTTGGAGAAACAACGCTCGGAGAGGTGCCGGCGGATAGGCAGTCGAACAGCGAATTTTCCTCTCTCTCTCTCTCTCTGTCTGTTGCTACCACACGTGAAATTTCAATATGCATCGTTTGACAGATGTGGTGCATCGCCCGGATTTTAAATGCAAATATAAATTCCACAATCCGTAACGACTTGGTGAAACATCGAGAGCGTGTAGCTATGTATAGTGAAGGAAAATGAAAAAAACTGTTGAAACTGCCACTTTATACGAGATTAAAGTTGATACGCAACAATATTAGTGATCGTTTCATCACGTCACACGTATAGATCCAAAAATGCTATCTGCGATGCAAATAACGTTTAGTGTGATTCTTCCGATAATAGGACGGTTGACAAATTTAACATTTAATCGATATCCATACTTATATAATCTGCAATTCCAAGAACGGTCGGACAAATGCCGCATTCATGTTTTTATGCATTTCTGTGCTATTTATCACGTCGCATTGATTCACCGCGCATTCACCTTATGCGCGTGTATACGTTTAACTTGTGTATTGTTTGCGAAAAATGTGAATTATTCGCTGGGACAGGTGTGGAATTTATATTTGTTACTCGACGTGTATTGAATCGAAATGACGTGCACACACGTCGCGTATACAAGAATATTCATTATATTATTCAGGATTCTTGTTTGTCAATAATCGTACGTGAAAGAAACTTTGAAAGGTATTGTTCAATCCGACGTCCGCAAACTGGCATTAGCGACCTTGTTTAATTATATTATTTTGAATCGCGACGTCGTTAATGCGACGGGGAACTGTTCTGAAAACTTTCTATACAGCATGAGAGTGCTTCACGTTTCATTTATTTAAAGCCAAGCCGAGAGGCGGGGTCCTGCTATTTCCACTTTCCACTCGGTTCGCGATGGTCGGATTAATTTCTCATAAATCGTCCGCGGTTTTCGTTGATTGGGTCACGGTTTCATTTGTCCCTCGCGCTTCGAGACACGCCGTTTCCGATCTAAAGTAATTAAGTGTCGCGATCGGCACGTAGCTCGATATCGGATATATCTCGATACCACGTCCACTTTTATAGACGTACAATGTGATATTGACACTGCCGGGGAAACCATCGACTGGATATGTAACATATTACGATACCATTTTAGAAAAGTTGCTCTCTCGCTCTCTTTCTTTCTGAACTGGCTTAGAAGACAATGGAAGCATTCTTTATCGAATACTTTATGTGTAAGAGAGTATTCTTTTCAACATTTCTTTATAATGTATTCAAATAGACGGCTCACATACATATTCAACGCGTACAATACATGCAAAATATGTGTAAAATACATGTAGGTATGAATATTAATTATGAAATTGAGATAGCTTTGTTTTAGATATAGTACCTACATGTATGTTTTTTTTTTATTTAATTATACAATATGGAATATTTTAGTATTTTACTTTTTTGAAAAAGATATTGTGTACAAACGTCAAGCACGTGGATCAGAATTATTCCTTGTGTAGAACTCTTTCATTTGCATTATTTCATTATTTGCGACTAATTAAAATTGAATTTGATTAATAATTAAATTGAATCGCTATATGATATAAAATTTAATACAAAGAGTTATATGTCACTCTACTAACTACTATATTGTCAATAAAGTGTCCATCTGAAATTTTTTGGTATCATATACCGTATCTTTATATTTATTTATTTTAAATATTTTGATGAGAGATATATATTTAAAAGTGAAAGAAATAAAAAGATATTGATTCTATTCCTGCATTTAATAAATCTATAAATATCGCGTTATTTGATAATTACTAATTTATTTTTATGTAAAAGTTATCTTTAATTAATTAATAATAATTTGATTAATAAATATACATTAATGAATATAATGAATGTCACGTAATTTCATATAATTATTTGTTTTAAATGCAATCGATATCTTTTTATAGTCGAATTAATCGCGGTGAACTTAATTAAAATCGAGTTTGTTATCCAATAGAGAGGAATAATGTTCCCTGAAAATATCACCGATTATCGTTATGTTTTAGAAGCGTATCGCGTTTTCTTTATACCAAAATCGTTTGATCATTGCATATGAAATTGTTTACTATAAATGTTTTCCGCTCAATGAGTTTCCAGTTCATTTAAAGAATCATACACATGTCCAATTTCCGAAACATTGGCTAAATTACTGCAAAATGCTGAGTCATACGCAGCGAGCGTCGAAAGTATAGTATATAGATTGAAAATAAATTTGAAATACGGTCTCGTTTTATCGTTTAAATTTACTTGCTAGTCTATCATTAAATCGTATTAATTTCGATAATTTCGAAATCTCGATTTACAATGTGCTCGTTGAAATAAATATACGTATTAGAACATTAATTAGCGTTGAAAAATTGAGGAAATTTTCATTACACACATCGAGAGATTTCTATCATGGCCGCGCAATTTCCTAGAATAAAACCAATACAATATGTCCGTATCGCACGCGCGAATCGACTGTCTAGAAAATAATATCTCGAATAAGGATCAACGCGTAAAAGTCGATCGAATGGCTGGCACATTTACGATGGAAATGCGTCAAACTGCCTCTCTCCCTCTCTCTTTCTCTCGCACCTTTTCCCCTATCGGACATATAAATTCAGAGAAAAGCCACTCTACGAGGGATAATGCCACCGGTGCGATAACGTCGTCGTCGTTGCGTTGCATTAAGCGCTCGACGAGCTGATAAATCGAGAATTTACCGACGCTACCTGCACATACTCTTGCAGATTCGACCAATGAAATGCAACACGCGCGTGCGTTTGAGTAAATATTTTTTTCACTGAAATTTCACACACTCGCGATAAGCGAAGGGGGATGAAAGTGACGATCAGTAACTAGCGATTGCCGTGATACATCGTCACGATGATCGCGGCGAACGAGTTGGTACAAAGCGCGATCTCAACAATCTGCAACAACGGTCCGGGACACGTCCGGAATGCGCGGGAAAGAAACGCACACACACACACACACACATGCACACCGCAATAATTCTGAATCAGCCTTCGCCCGCTATCGTTTCCACGAGGCAGGATGCGATATTACACCGGCGTTTCGACTTGCGCGCAACCGCTCCTGGCACCGGGTCTCTATCTTCCGTTGTAAATAGCGATTTTATAATTCATGGTGCGCCGTGTTTCATCCGGTCTATCGGTGAACCACTACCAAACGGGGGCGATATGACCGGCGGTAGCCGCGCGTTACCACTTCGTTACAACCACAGTTGAGCTGGAGTTTATTTCACGCGAATATCCGCCCCAAAGTACACCGAGGGCTATAACAATGCTCGCCGCAAAACTTTAATCTTTAAATCCTTTGGTAAAATTACAAGTGGCATGTGTGCGGCATGTATGTATACATAGATCTCTCGACGCACAAGCGTCATCCTCCATTTTTGCTCTTGAACAATGAAATGGGGGAGAATGGAAGAGACATTTGTATATATACGAGAGATACACGTATTTCCATATTTGTAACATCAAAATTGAATGTATTAAAATTCAATGAAAAAATGGAATTGATTAAAATTTGATATATCCGGACTATGATCTTTACTCCACAACGATTCTTGAATGTTTGACGTAAAACGCGATATAAAACGTTCTATTTTTTTCTCTAGTTGTTGATGTTTTGATATTATTTAGACTTGGCGTTATAGAGTCGTATCGCCGCAATTGCCACTGTCTCCCAAATAGTACACGATCGATCACGAACGCTTCCAAACTGACCCGATGCGCTCGAACACACGTGAGATTGCTAAGTCACGTCGTGATTACAGTCAGGCAGACCCGAACCCGAACGTCAACGCTGTCGCTGGTGCGGATCGATATCGGCATTGATACAGGATGAGGAATAAAGCTATTCGATATATACATATAGGCATGCGTTCGATTAATCAGTACGAAAACGCTGGTATTGTCAATGTCTCGAATCTGCTTTAACTACGTCCGCGTAAATGTTACGGTCTCGATAACAATCAAGATTATTCGGGCAACTGAATGTACAGTCGGGACAATGCCGCGTTCACTTTGACACCGCAAGATTCATTTGATTATACAAACGAGAACTCTAGCTATCGAATTATAATTATGATATTGCGATATTGACGCACGAAATGAAAGCCATATTTTTCCTGCACGAACTATATGATAATCCGTGAGCGAGAGATTTACGTAATATGTAACAGTATTTTTTGATCCAAAATTATATTATATACAGATATCGCGTCGATACGTTCTCTCGAAATGCTAGACGATTGCGATTCGAACGTAACAAGCTGCAGCACGATTAATGCATGAGTTGTTCTTTCAACGAGCGATTACAATTAACGGTAAACGATCGAACAGTAACACCTGACACCCGAAAATACGATGTCACATAGATATTTTACACCGAGAGAGTGAGATATCATAGTCGCAAATTCACAACTCAAATATGTACATACGCGGATATAAGGTCGTGTATCTTTGTATATCACTCTCGTCTATCACAACTTTCCGTATTCCCTCTTTTTACGGCTCGTAAACACGATACTCGGGCGAGAGAGTTGGGAGATCAAGAATGAATTTAGCGTGCAAGCGACGCGTAAAAAAAGATACACTACTTACGAATTTATTTTATAGAGGGTGCGAGCGGATGTTGAATGATGGCACTTAATCGATGCAAAAGCGGATGCTATTAAGAATATCGAAGTCTTTGTATACAATATAATTGTCAAATAACTGGGAGGGAGACGCGAATTTTTTCAAAGTCTATTTCTCCTTTCACAACAATTAATAATTCTTTTATAATCTACATGAGAGACAGATCTCGAAAAAGATTGCATACTTACGTAGTATGTCAAGCTCGTTATTTCGCGAAACATAATTTCGTGTACACAATGAAAGCGAATGGATATGAGTAATGTGGCACGTAAACAATGCGAAATTTTATTTCTCTTTGTTTCAGATGGCATTTAATGTTACGAGCGAGACGAGGAGGCTTCATCTATCGCGGGGATTTATACATTCGTGCGTGGGAGCTACAAAGCGAGTCTCGTCAAAGGGCTCATCAACATCAACGGAATCTCTGTATATCGGTTAGTAATTTTGTATATCTCGCAGTGTTTTGTGTGTGTACAGGAGCGAAGTTTCGCGAATTTAAGCTCGCTACTTCTCTCGCTGTCCCATCTGTCATCTTTTTGCAATTCCTTATAGTCGCGAATTATGTCTCTCGCCATAATTCTAATTAAATAGATATAGTTTCGTTTAATCTTTCTCTCTCTCTCTCTCTCTTGTTTCTCATTTTTTATTCTAGCGTCGTGTCTACGGCACCTTAATTGGCTCGGGCACGACTTGTTCTACTCATTAAAAATTTTAGTCGTAAAAACTTGCGCATTTAAGCACACATTGTTCTTTTATCGTCTTCTCTGGATTAAATCGCTTTTATAATAATTGTCGCGTGCCTACAATAATCGTAAAACTATTTTTTTACATTTATGAACCAATTTAAAAAATAATCAGATTTCTTTCTAAATTCTTACAATTAAAATCATCTGACTAAGCGTAAAAATGTTTGAATATTGTGATATTTTAATTCCGCATTATTTTCCATTCTTACTTTATACACTAATAATAAATTCGAGTAGAATGCAGAATTAAAGGCATTGTCATAGATATCTGTACGCATGTACGCACAAAAGTAACATCAGCCGTACAACTGGAAACATGGCGTGCACGCGTAAGTAAAGTTCGCTAAAGTTTCATAATTCTGGAACCGTATTTAGTTCAACCGGAGACTTCTACGTTCAAACTGATATTCACCATTAACGCTCTCATCGTTATTCAAAAGCGATGGTACTAATTAACCAACGCATTTTATTATTACCATTTATGTATACTGTATAACTTTTCCTCAACTATACATATATCCCCACATGTAACAATCGTGTAATATCATATTAATTTGGTAACGTGTACAATCGCGTTTCTCCCCCTTTGACAGAAAGGGGTCTCTCTCTTTCTGTCAAAGTGCAGTTGCATGACATTTATCCTAATCCTGGAGCGTGTCATACACAATCAGACGCAGGAGTTACCGTCCATATGCATATGTGGCGACAATCAGCAAATCACGGGGAGGTCGCAAATTCCGCTCGAGCATAGGTAATTGTCTGTTGTAGGAGAATGGATGTTCGAGGCCGCGCGTAGCCAGTGTGTCGGTGCAACTCGAACAAGACAGCAACAAGTCGGAGCAGCTGCAGCGGGCGCCGCGTTGCAACGTGCGCGCTTGCAGGCAGCCGAGAAAAGGAAAAGCGCGGGTGACCGCGCCGACCCTGCTCGTGCAGAATTTCTTGGAGACACTTTAGTCGACGCCAATCGGGGAAACGGCCCTGTCCCCAGCACGTTCGCCAGATGAAAACGGGCCGTGGAAGAGAGGAGTGCATTTTTAATTCGCATATAGCAGCCTCGTCCGACGATCGTCAGCGACGAAGAGAATCCTATTATAGCGGAATGCCTGAATATTTTTCGTATGCCGTGTTTGTGTGTTAACTGGGGACCGCAAGCTCTCGACCTGTCGCGGATCATTCGTGATATCGAAATGGAAGGTATGCATGTATCATTGTTATCGTTTATATATGTATTCCCCTTCGTGGCATCCTGGTTATACTGTCGATCGGACAGTGACGACGCAAAGATTCGCGATCTCTCCGAAAATAACGTCGCTGATGGAAAACAAAGAGAGAGGACAAAAATAAATGCCTGCCCTGTAGATAACCTTGTGGCTTCGAACATAAAAAAACGTTCTAAAATTGAACACGTTAAATCGTTCAGGCCAGGACAAATGACAATGTGTGCAATGGTGAGAATTGAATACTAGCATTAAACACCTTGAAAATTATTTTGCCACTTTAAAATTTATCATAAGGATACTTAACGAGAGAGGACCAAGGGAGATTCGAGCGAATAACTGTGCGATGAACGATTATGCAAAGTTTCTCTCGCGTGTCGATTTGCGCATAATCGAAATATGATATAAAATCATGTGCGTCCAGCATGTGTCTGTTACACTTTCGAAACGCGATAATTGTAATTGGTAACATAGTTACATGTAGTATGACGTATTTCTATAAATATTTGCTGTATCTCGTGTGTGCTTTCAACGTTTTCATGATGTCTGTTTCGATGAAATGATAAAGCTGCCGTTATGCATATACATCTGAAAAACGCAGCCTTTCATTAAACAATGTCAGAATAAAAAATGCAGATTATATTTGTGAAAAATATTTTGAAAGATTTTCGATGAGTAATTTAACAACATAGTATATAGTTGTCAAGACAAATATTTAATATATAAACTAATATTGTTAAATTTTAAAAATAAATGAATTTTCTTGGCAAGAAAAATTTTTTGCTAAAAATCTTACATTAAAAAACGTACATCATTTTTATTTTCAATAAATATGCTAAATCACACATTTATCGAGATATGCATTATATTTTTTCTGCCGCTTATGTCAATGATGAAAACTGTACGCAAAAAAAAACGAGAAATTATGGCGCCGAATTTTATTTTATCGTCATGATAATGACACTGTAGCGCAGTACTCTAGATGAATACATATATATATATAAATATATACTTTTAAGAATCTTTCTCGGATCATTCTTTGTGTGCCTCTCTCGTAGACACGCAATTTTAAGCACGTAAATACACGGTGCCAATATTAGAGTAATGAATGTACCACTAATCTGCGGTTTGGTATGGCTTTTGTATATGAAAAATAAAAACAGAAACAATTTTCTTTCAAAGAGATATACATTCTTCGATGAGCTTGGTATGGCAACGTTATACTGCGAGTACATCGTAAAGAAGACACAAAGTTTCACATACAATAATTTATATACATACATTTATTATTGCATAATAAAACATTTTTAAAGTTATTTAAAATTAAATTTGACATCGATATAAAAATTTTAAATGTATTATACAACTACAATTATATTTTAAGCCAATTTTATTGACTCTAATATTAAAACTGTCTAGAGATTAAATAAAATGTTGTTGAAAATTATTTTTGACAACTTGTAAAATGGATAGATCTTTTTTGCAGTTAATAATTTATTACGTAACAAGCAAAATGAATAAAATATAATTTACTTGTACGTCGCTTTACGAGTACTTGCAAAACTTTGCCAAAATTAAGAAGACCAATGTACATACCTGTATACAGAAAAAATATGTTACATCGAAAATTTCGGCGATGTTGCTTATTAAACTTCTCTACTATAAATTATTGCCATGTGTAACATTATTATAACAAACTCGAATAAATACATTTTGGCCATCTGGTTGCAACGGCCTATGGTACTTTGCAGAACACTGCGGATAGTGGGAAAAAATGCAACGAAACATGAAGATGAGAATGAAACGTGAGATCTAAACTATAATGGTATATGGAAATGACAATGCATATGTATGAAGTTATATTTTTAGTTACTATACTGTTCTCTCCACAGTTTTGTTTGATATTCGCAGAGCTCGGATATTTTTATTTTAATATTTCTTTTTGATGTAGTTAATGTAGAATAAAATTTGTTATTTGCTTTAATTACATCAGAGTTAGAACATTTCTCTTGCAATCGTATTTAATGTTTCCAAAATTATATTTCATGTTTGATTAAATTACAAAAAGAATTTAATTACGGAAGTTAATATAATAAAATTATATACGTTAATCGGCCAGCGTCAATCAGAATTGCATAAATTTTGCACAAGCATCATATTATCATTACAATCAGGAGATGAGAGTCTCAAGCTTTTCCGTAAGAATCGTACGGATGAAGCTAAAATAGAGGATCATAGGAGAGTTGCTCATTAGCTAAGGTAAGAAATAAAATACTTGCAAGTTAATACGTTTAATACGATAAATGGAAGTGATCCGAGTATTCTATTTTTCGTACACTTAAGCCTTAGGCGTTTTCCCAATTTTAACAGAGAGTAAGCATTTAGCACCACGTATATTTCATTAAAAAATTTCTTGAGATAGCATAGCTGCATAAATAAAATTATATTATCGTCATGACAAATACAAATTTATATTAGTGGAAACAATTTTGTGATATTTCGTAATGGTCGAACGTCGAAAGGGTGTGGGACACATTTAATTATCTAAAAATAATTTTTAATTCATATAGCATATAGGAATTGAGCCCCGTACCATCTATATATAAATAAACGTCAGCAAATATAGATTCAATTGCAACATATTTCATTTTTACCATGTATGACAGTCTTCTTCTTATTAGGACGTTTGGCCGATGGACAAATCCAATTGCTGATTAGTATTATCATTATATACGAACGGAATTAACGGGTAGAATGTCAACGAGAGCTTAGCGTTATCGATCCGTTCAATATAGCAGACGAAGAAACAAAAGCATTTAAAAAGAATAAAAAATTAAAAAGTTTGCGGTATCGATATACAAATTCAATACCAGAAATTGTACGTGGGCCGTGTATAATTAGCCGCAATTTGATTAGTCTAGGTTACTACTTGATAGACTAGTTTGTATATCTAATTACGATATGTTATTATTCATATTCATTGTGAATACAACAATTATAAATTATCATAATAAAGTGTATGTTTATACATATACCTATATATGTTTGATTTATGTGCTGGCATCCGACCATCGCTAATATTAGCGAGTCCAGACTACCTACACCTAATCAATTATCCAGTTTTCCCCGGTTTAATTATGGTCGTCCGGCCAAAATTGTGGTTTCATCGACCAAGCTACAGTAAATTTACAGATCGCCCTTCCTCTCACAAGTGTGGCAAGAATAGATCGACAAACTTCCGCCGAGGAGAGTTAACATGATAGCACGGTTATAATTTTCATTAAGTGTGTAACGTGTTTGTTATTGCAAACGTGATAATAAAGTGCAATAATTATATGAGTATATACTATTTAGTGAGCTCGTTCACATTCACTATCGTTTATCATTAATATTTCACAATTTATATAAAATTGCTTTTATTTTGATATTATATTTTAAGTATAAGTTCCTTAAATCAATTATCGTTCGGCTTATTTAAATAAATTTCAAGTATCGTTTAAATAAATTTTCATCTTATTACAAATTCTGAGGGTATGAGATGTATTTACGATAAAATTATATAACCATTGACCGAGCAAAAGAAATAATTATACGTGATTCACTCCATGAACGAATACTTGTGTGCACTCAGTCGGTTCACGTCTGAGCAAATCTACTGCGCGCAGATGATTTTGAAGAGTCTCTGGCATTATGTTCAGTTCACAATGAGCGCGTACTAGCACTCTCACCCTATAGTCGGCAACGCCTGGAAATAATGGAGCTCACCGCAATGCAGAATTTTGGTGTCCCGGTAAGTATCGTGTAATTTTAACGGTAATTGCTGGCGGTTTAAACGTTTCGCAAAATTCAAATAGTCCTTATTCCACCCTGCTGCTACGGAATGTCAACGTAAAGGTTGAATAAAGATTAGCGTTCAGAATTTTATATTATCCCACGAATCCTTTCGTCTGCGTTTCGTTATTTATTTCACAAAAAAGGAAAAAAAAAAGAAGAAAATATCGCTATTTTACATAGTAGCGTCTTTCGCGCGAGATAATTTTCTCACGTCGAGAAACTTTCTATGCACGATCTCACGGATAATATTTTGTAAAAAGAATTGTATGATCATACCGCGCGCATTTTAGTCACGTAGAGCTAGTAAATCGCTCCTTACCGGAATCTTTGAACCCGCGCGAAATTCTTCTTTTAGAGTATAACGTTCTTCCGTGCCATTAGGAACATTAGAAACACGTATACCGATTCGGAGGCAGCGACAACTGTTCCTTTTCTTCCTCTATTTTTTTTGTCAAAATACTTGAAGTACGTTCGATTGATTCTTAAAGCTCTACATCTCTCATAGCTTATGCTCTCTCATAGCGAGATATGCGAAGGCATCCATAAATGCATCGCGCATCAAGCTGCGGTTTGATTTACATTGCGCAAAAGACGGCTATCACGTTTTCGATAGGCGGATTTGCCGATAATGGCAGGCGGATCTGCATGATCCGGGAGCCACGTGGGAATACGAATCCGGACAATATCCTGGCGCATCGTGACGGCTCGGTAACCCAGAACGGATGAATGTACGTCCCGTTGCATCGAGTGCGGTTACGTGATCTGTATTCGTCGAACGTCCTGGGAAACGACGAGGGTCGTGCCTTCCCCATATCTGATGAACCCCCTTGCTCTAAATCTCCGAGATGTTTTAAAACGTCGAGTGTCTAGCACAGCTAGTGTGCAACTGACAGCTAACATCGACAATCGACATGAAATTCGTGTAAATTGGGATAAAGAAGAGCCATCGATTCGAGGAATTTCGCGCCCATCCAATATGTCGGATATGATAATCTTGATTCATCTCCCTGTAGTTGCAGCCGTTATGATGCTATATCGATATTCAAAACCCAGTCGAGTTAAATTATTCCCTATATACAGGCGGGCCACGGCGTTATTTATGCATTCGCGCTCTCGCGCGAAATCCTTGACAAGTCGTGCTATTATCTTCGTGTAAAATGGATTTACGTACAAATACAATCGGCCGGTTAAATTAACGACCTTCTACTTTCCATCCTGTACACATATATACCTATCCCGGTTTCATATATACGCGCCATGATGCATCGTCGTTATGATAAAACTCTCCCGGGAAGCGTGCACGTGCGCCGGGATAAAGCGTCGCGATATTAAATCGCAACCGCGCGCGTAAAAGGCGTTTATTTTTATTTACCGTTACGGTGGAAACCCGGTGGATCGCGACGCATTAGATCCACGTAGGGACAAGTTAGCCACGAAATGAAGGGAGGATTCGAGACAAACATATGTATCGCCATCGCGCGCCAAGTTATTACCTTCTTTTATTATACGTAACGGTTCCTACGTGTATCGAATACGCACGTTATTTGTCGGCCCTTCGGGCATCTTTATTCGCCCGAGATCGTTTTATTTTCTATCGTCGAGCGAGAGGAATAAACGAGCCGCGAGTGACCAGATCGAAAAACGACGACACTTTCCTTTCCCGATATATAGCGCCCTGAAAAGTATACGGCGGAGAATTTTCCACGGGAAATTGGTGGAAATGCGAATGAATCGTGGAAAGTATTTGAAAAAATCCGCTCGAAGCTGTCATATAAATTGATATTTCGGCAAGCCGATTGCCCGCATAATGTTTTTATATATGTATACGTCGTCAAATGCGCACGCGTTCGATATAAAATAATATGCAATTGTAATTGCGGAGTGAAATTTATTACCGTAACGAAATTTACGATATGCAAATCTATTTTCGATATTAATGTCGGGAGATTTGCGATGCCGCGTGCTATAAATAAATTTTTTTAGGGAGTTGTAACAGCAGTATTTCGTAAATACTTCCGATCCGTATTGCTTCGTTCTTCCATTTGCGAATCAGTACAGATTTATATAGTAAAAAATCATGCGACTTTAACTTTTAATTGATTTTGCACAATTTCGCGTGTGCGCTAAATTGTTAAATTGTATAGGAGAATCCGATTAAATCCGCCGGTGTGTATAAAACTGGTGTTTTCGTTGTACGTTTCTCTAGTTTTAGTTTCTATGTACGTGTCGTATCCAAAAATCGATTTGGGAAACGAAATTCTATTTTGGCGGATGCGACGAGGATTCACCTCGCTCGAGAAAAGAGAGCGTTTTATATTCTACCTACGCGTATATATCCGTCGAGTCG